AGAATATATGTATCCTCCGACAGGATTCGAACCTGTATTATACAAGGCACCTGACGTGCTATACTATTTAACTACAGAGGTTAGCAAATTATTGTTTCCAAACTTTAAATTTCCCATTTCTCACGAACACCTATAACATTCAGGCCGGTCAGTCAGTCAGTCAGTTATGTGCCATGCGTGATACACGCTTAGGCAATTATTTATCTTTAGATACATGACTGACGAATCATATTTTTCCCGCAGTAGGCTGCCAATTCTATCTGCTATAGACCAGTTGCCATCCAAGGCTATAGAACCCAGTTTGTCCTGATATTTACCCATAGCTGAGGGGAGAAGAAGAGGATTCATACCTTTCCCAAGCACGTAAGTGAATGTAATGGATTTGACTGGAATTCAAACACGGCTTTCTGATTCCTCAATCCGAGCCACTATCCATTACTCCGATAAATGTTGTTAATACTGTTTATTATAAACTGAGCATTTACTTAAATATTTGTATCTATAAAAAGAACGTATAGACAGAAAATATATTAAAATAATTGTCGAAATTTGTCCATTTCATAAACATATGATTGTCCATTTCATAATATATGATGTTATATGTTTACGTTAAGATACACTTCCAGCAGATATGAGCGTAAGAAAAAAATTATGGGAAATTTGTAGTATACAAGCAGTAATTTAACCTATTTCTGCCTCACCCTATCAAAAATACCCGTAGAAATTACAATATTACCTTGTTAAATGTTAAGCTTTATAAATTTAACAAAATATTGCGATAACAATCGTAAGTAGGAATATAGGTCACAAGGCGTAAGAGGGTACAAATGAATATATTTATAATTGACAAGATTTTCCATTTCACCGAAGCAGATGTTAAGCACATGACAGTGTTATCTCCTTTATCCTTCCGTCCTTTCATTGTCTTTGTTTCTTTGTTGGTTGTTTCTTTCTTTCTTGTCCATGATTTCACCTTTTTCTTTCAGTCTTTCTTTTTTGGCTATGATTTTCCTCCTTTTTATTTTGTCTTTCTTTTTTTTCGTTCTTTATTTGCCATGATTTCCATTCTTTGTTTGTTTGTTTGTTTGTTTCTTTCTTTGTCCATGATTTCCCTTCTTTCTTTCATTCTCTCATTTTTATCTATGATTTTCTTTATTTTTTTGTTTCTGTTTTTCTTTCTTTCTTCGTCGATGATTTCAATTCTTTCTTTCTTTCTTTCTTTCTTTCTTTCTTTCTTTCTTGTCCATTATTTTCTTTCTTTTTTTCCTTTTCTTTCTTTCTTTCTTCCTTTCTTTCTTTCTTTCTTTCTTTCTTCATGATTTCCCTTCTTTCTTTCTTTCTTTCTTTCTTTCTTTGTCCATGATTTCCCTTCTTTCTTTCTTTCTTTCTTTCTTTCTTTCTTTCTTTCTTTCTTTCTTTCTTTCTTTCTTTCTTTGTCTATGATTTCCCTTCTTTCTTTCAATCTTTCTTTTTATGTATGTTTTCGCTTCTTTCTTTCATTCTTTATTTCTTTCTCCCTTGAGAATTTACCTTCTCTCTTTCTTTTCAATGATTTTCTTTCTTTCTTTCTTTATTTCTTTCTTTCTTTCTTTCTTTGTTCATGATTTCCCTTCTTTCTTTCTTTCTTTGTTCATGATTTCCCTTCTTTCTTTCTTTCTTTCTTTCTTTCTTTCTTTCTTTCTTTCTTTCTTTCTTTCTTTGTTCATGATTTCCCTTCTTTCTTTCTTTCTTTCTTTCTTTCTTTCTTTCTTTCTTTCTTTGTCTATGATTTCCCTTCTTTCTTTCAATCTTTCTTTTTATGTATGTTTTCGCTTCTTTCTTTCATTCTTTCTTTCTTCCTTGTCTATGATTTACCTTCTCTCTTTCTTTTCAATGATTTTCTTTCTTTCTTTCTTTCTTTCTTTGTCCATGATTTCCTTTCTTTCTTTCTTTCTTTCTTTCTTTCTTTCTTTCTTTCTTTCTTTCTTTCCCTAAAACTAAACAACGCTTTTGATGTATCTTTTTCTACTGTCTGTCATTGCAATCAAACATGAATGGTCCCTTGTTTATCTGAGTAATGGCGTAGCGTAACGTACGTTTTAATTTACTAACGAACGAAGGAACACGCAATAATAATACGATGATGATGTTAAGCTAATAATAATAATAATAATAATAATAATACCCATAATAAGAAAAAATGTAATGAAGAATAAAGGAAGAGGCGGAACAATGAAGAAAGAAAGAACAAATGAACGTCTAGAAAATACTAAAAAGTGTGTGAAATGGAAAGATAATGGAGGAACGAAGGGTGGAAAATGGCGCGTAAAAACGAATATGGTGATTAATCCTAATAAAAGGGAAAGTTGCTTTACCAAAAGAGAAAGGACAGGGGAAACGTCACAGTGAATGAAATAAAAATGCCATTAAAAAGAAATCAGTTAAAGGTTGAATCATTACTGGAAACATGATCCCAATTACTTGCTAAAACTATTATAACAGTTTTTGTCACATAAAACTTTATGCCCATCTATCTATCTATCTATCTATCTATCTATCTATCTATCTATCTACCCCAGTTTGTATCTATCTATCTATCTATCTATCTATCTATCTATCTATCTATCTCATTCTCGTTATTATC